TTTATTTATTTATTTATTTATTTATTAAACTTTATTGCACATACAGTGTAATTGGCGGACTTAATGCCGTAGGCATTATCTGACAGTCGACCATTGGGTGGTGCAGAATGTTAAAGCGGTAGGTGCAAAATTGTAAAAAGAAAGTATGAAGTAGTAGATAACGAAGTTAAGGTATAAAATATTAAAGAGGGAAGATATGATAGTTATAGTCGATAATACATAACTAAGGGTATAGGGACTTAAAATGAATTATATAATAAATATATATCCCAAATATGCATACATATAATATGATATAATTACTATATAATACATAAATATATAAATAAATGCAATACATAGACTACATATTACCACTGTTTTGAGTTTGCCACTTTTTATAAATGTGTTCCCGAACCTTAAATTTAAATGAACAGCGATTATTTGCCATTCTGATTTCCTTGGGCAGCGCATTCCACAGAGAGACAGATTGAACGAAAAAGGAGGAGTGAAGATAGTCAGTATCTATATATGATAATAAATTTCGTTAAGTCAGTACATTAGTTTTATTTTACTATAAGATTCTTAAAGATTACGAGGTTCAAAATACATCATTATAGTTCTAAATTTTACCCACGTAGGTCTTGTTTCCGTAGAATTTCCATGATAAAAATTTGTAATCTGTGTCGAGATTTATCTGATACTTGTCAAATTCATTTCTCGAATCTTAAACTGTCGTTGTACGGAATTTTAGTCAAATAGATTCAGTAGCTTAAATAAAATGGCGTCCCGGGACTTTACGCGTAGTATCCGATCCCGTGAGGCTTCCGGGATAAGGCTTGTCTACGTTCTTTTTCGGTCTCAAACTATCATCGTACGAGATTTTAGTTAAAAAGGTTCATTAGTTTATAAGAAACGGCTTCCTGGGGTTGTGAAGCGTAATTCCCGCTCCCGTGGGGTTTAGGGGATAAAACTTATCTAGATTTTTCCTCAGCTCTCAAACTACTATTGTACGAAATTTCAGTCAAATAGGTTTAGTCATTACAAAGAAATTATATACTGGGACTTTAACGCCTTGTTCCCGTTCTGATAGAATTTCATTGACAAACCACTGTCCACCAACAATTTCAATAAAAGACCAGTAGTTTGGAAGACAGAGAATACCGTAATTTTAAGGCTGTACTGCCGTTGCTGGAGAATTTTCGTGATAAACACTATTACACGTCTTTTTTGAGTCTCAACTATGTCTGTACTTAATTTTATCCATAACGCTTTAGTGATTTAGGCGTAAATAAGAGACAGAGACATGAGTTACTTTCGTGTTTATATCTATAATCTTTCTCTCACTGGTCGAATCTATTGGTCATAAATTGATGTGTTATTTAATACAAAAAGAATTATTATAAACGGATGAGTCTTTCTAGAGATTAGCGCGATCAAATAATCCAAGCATTCAGCTTTACCCGTTGAAAATCATTACCTACCTAAATTTTATTCAAACATAAGTAGTCTCTATACATTGGAAATAAGGTCTATAGTATAGTTAGGGGAGAGCGGTCACCGGTGACCGCTTGGGGGATATATGGGTTTGTATAAAAATATGTCCAAATTATTATATTATTTATTCAGGAACAACAAACTGGTACAATAATAAATAATGTTTCAATATGTATACAAGTAATATATGAAAATACATTTTAATGGTAAACGGCTTTAAACTGTCAAACACCAAGCGGTCACCGGTGACCGCAACCTATTGTTCTATAATTGTGTCTATAATGATGGTACTCGACGAGTTAATAAATAATTAAAAATAGTCTATTCTGTCTAGTCTATTACAATATCTGCATAATAACAATTGAAATAATTATGATAATGAGTGCCGCCATTAAGGTATATTATTATTATAATGAAATACCTAGGTATGTAAATAATAATTAATTTAAAAAACAATACTAGATACTTGTCGGAAGGATGGTGTGGGCGATGTCAAGCGAGAACTCTCTTCGTCATATATATCGGTAGAGGTATGTTTATGCAGTAATAAAACAATTAAATCTTCGTAATTAAAGTAACGTTTACTTTCGACAGTGCACAATAAAATTACTCAGCGATTGCGTAACGTGTGAACTGGGCAACGATTGACGAACGACTCCCCGAGCTTGCGCTTGCGCTGCTTTATATACCAGTCGGTGGTGGGGTTGAAGTGATGTCGGTCAGTTATTTGTTCACTGCTTGCCCATTACATTCGCAGTTTACAAAATAATGACGGCGGCGCCGTCATACTGATATTGTAAGTAAATATTTTATTTATGCCTCGGCAAGATGTTATCAAGCAAACTATGTTTATATAATTACTAATAAACTAAATTACCCATCATTTTTTCAGTAATCATCATTTATTTCAATCAGACCAGAAAGGCACTTTTGAACGTCATCTCGGACATACATACATACATACAAACAGACAAAAAAATTACATCCACATTTTCGACTTCAGTATCGAGTGCAAATAACGCACCAAGTATTTTTTAAATATTCAATATACAGGTTTGACTTTTTTACGATTTTATTAGGTATATGTATAGATATAACTAGATGAAAATGACCAGAGGGCTTAGTAAACAAACTAATTCTTTTACATTAAACGAAATCGGAACGAGACCTCAATCAGCGGTCTGATTCGTTGGTGGTTCATTGCAGCTGGCCAATCAGGAATCCGTACGTGGTCTCGTTTCAATAAAGATAAAACATACTCGACTTAAGACACGTAATGTTACTAATATATTCGTATTTAGTTTGTTAACAAAACCAAACAACCACGATAATGCAACGTCATATACCTACATACATAGAATTACAATTGAAATAATTCAATTACCTTTTATGCAAATTTATTCATATTATACATTTTATTTTTAAATAGTAAAGTTTTGTTGTATTGTCTTAGTCTGAATAATTAATATTCGTATCCGAATTACCGTAATATTTGCCTATCGGCAACAGTACTATCGTATAGATACGTGTATTATGTACTACTATTATTGATAAAGTTATGAAAATACAAAAAGATTTCTAATAATTCTTTACTTCAAACCCGATTCCTCGCTCTGCACTCAGACTAGGGCCTACTGATCCAGGGAGGACGTTCTAATAATTTCTATGTTTATTATAAATATTGTAGAGGCTGACAGTACTGTTAAAATTGTTGCCGTAATCAAAAACGTAGCTAAACAATGAAACTATCCTATCAAAACAAATGAAAATAGAATTCGAATCAGCAGTTTCGGTG